GACCCTTCGCTGCCTTGTCTGAATTATTTTGCAGCGGAGAGGAGCAGGCTCTGACCCGCGGGAGGGGAGCAGAGCTGGGGAGCAGACTGGTCTCCATCACGCAGGGCTAGGGGAGAGGCCCCTCACGCCACACGTTGGGACGTGCCCACTTAGCAAAATACCAGCTTACAGCTACGTTTACAAACGATGTGCTCGCGTTCCTCTGATTTAAGCACCGGTTTCTGGCGGGCACGTTGCAGGGGTGAGGCAGCCGCTGCCTCACCCCGCGCCCGCTGCCGGCACCCCCCTGCCCTTCTGCCCGCGGCTTCCAGAGACGGGAACTGGCCAAACCCAGCCCTGATCTCAGCCCCTTCAGCCCTCCTGGAAAACAATTCTGACCCAGGTCAGGGCTGCGGGGCAGGAGGAGGCTTCCCTTACCTGGGCAGAGCCGGGGAAGAAGCTGAGAACCCCCACCAGGCTGATGCCGACAACTGCAAAAAACAAGACGGCGGACAAGACGATCCAGAACGTCCTGGACGGAGCTGGGAGGTGTGCTGCGGCCCCCCTGCCCTGGAGCCGAGGAAAGAGAAGGAAAGGACAGGAGTTAAAATCAATGCGTGTGCCAATTACTGTTTTCGCGGTACAACGCACTTCCCGCTCGCAACACAAATCATCGTTGGAGCGCAGAACCGCCAGAGCATCGCAGCAGCCTTGGAATTGCGTTGTTTTTGTCTTCCAATGCTGGAGCAATCCTGCTTCCTTGGCCCTCCCTGTATCTGGTTGTATTTTATTTCCTCGCTAAGTTGTTCTCTGTGCAGACCAGGCTGTTGAAGCAATAGAGCTTGGCAGTCACGTCGCCCTTCTAGTGGCTTGATGTAAAAATCATTTTAATTCTTGCATTGAGACAATTAAGTTTAACTTGATGGTACATAAAATCATTTTTGCAAAGCAGAAAGGATATGCTTTCAATAATCTCAGCTGAACTGTTTCTCAATTCTTGGAAGGACACAGAGAAATTCAATAAATGCCAGTGGTTGGATTTGCTACAGTTGCACGAGGATCGGACTCTTCAAGCCTCCGAGGTCAGTTATTGATACTTTTGGCAATACATAACTTCCAGACATATTCCACCACAAAAGCAGCAAGTCTTAACCAAGTTAAAACTCGGCGTAGCTGAAATCTTATCAATTCTACCATCTTATCTGCTAGTAGAGCCCAAGCCCTACGGTATCAGGCAGATTTCTGGTAGCCAGTGAAATTCCCTCAGGTGGGAAAGACGCAGATAAGGAAATCCCGAGACTCCTGTGCCTGGGCAGGTCGTGGTTCACACGTGCACGCACAGCCCGAGTGGCTCCACGGTGTGCGAGCCGGGTTCTTGGGCATCTCTACCCCGTCCTGCCTCGTTACGCGATCGCTTTATGCCGTGGAAGTCTGGGCACTTACTAGAAAACCCAGGTGACACGAGTCAGCTGCCTGAGCTGTGGGGTGCTGAGTTTGGGGGCGAACAGAACCTTACCAGGACCCAGGAGAACAGCAGGAGCTCAGCCCCTCCAAAGCAGGAACCAGGTGAGCACGGAGCAGTGGCTCTCGCTGCGGTAACGGGGGGACTGGGGATACTCACTGCGGGGGCAGCATCGTCGGTGCCGTTCCTCGCCTCCATCCTGCCCCTCAGGCGAGGATCTCGCTCCTGCAGCTCTGCCTCCTGCCCGCACACACGCTGGGCATCATCCCCAGCCCCAGGAAAAAAAACCCCCCCGAAACGTAAATACACGTCCCCAAGGGCTTCCCGGCCAGGAGCTCAGACCTCCGGGGAGGGTGAAACCTTAGAGCTGCCACCTGGGGAGAGGAGAAGGGAAGCTGGGGGGGTAAA